ATGTTTACCGTTGTACTCATATCCAGTATGTTTACCTTTGTACTCGTATCCAGTACGTTTACCAATGTACTCGTATCCAGTACGTTTACCGTAGTAGTCGTATCCAGTATGTTTACCGTTGTACTCGTATCCAGTACGTTTACCGTGGTACTCGTATCCAGTGTGTTTACCTTTGTACTCGTATCCAGTATGTTTACCGTTGTATTCGCATCCAGAACGTTTATCGTTGTACTTGTATCCAGTACGTTTACCGTTGTACTCATATCCAGTACGTTTACGTTGTACTCGTATCCAGTGTATATACCTTTGTACTCGTATGCAGTACGTTTACCGTTGTACTCGTATCCAGTAGGTTTACAGTAGTACTCGTATCCAGTACGTTTACCGTTGTACTCGTATCCAGTGTGTTTACCTTTGTACTCGTATCCAGAATGTTTACCGTTGTACTCGTATCCAGTACGTTTACCGTTGCACTCGTATCCAGTATGTTTACCATTGTACTCGTATCTAGTATGTTTACCGCTGTACTCGTATTCAGTACGTTTACCGTTGAACTCGTATCCAGTATGTTTACCGTTGTACTCGTATCCAGTACGTTTATCGTTGAACTCGTATCCAGTACATTTATCGTTGTACTCGTATCCAGTACGTTTACCAATGTACTCGAATCCAGTACGTTTACCGCTGTACTCGTATCCAGTGTGTTTACCTCTGTACTCGTATCCAGTATGTTTACCGTTGTACTCATATCCAGTAGGTTTACCGTTGTACTCATATCTAGTATGTTTACCGTTGTACTCGTATCCAGTACGTTTACCGTTGAACTCGTATCCAGTACGTTTACGTTGTACTCGCATCCAGTACGTTTACCGTTGTACTCGTATCCAGTACGTTTACCGTTGTACTCGTATCCAGTATGTTTACCGTTGTACTCGTATCCAGTACGTTTACCGTTGTACTCGTATCCAGTACGTTTACCGTTGTACTCGCATCCAGTACGTTTACCGTTGTCTCTCGTATCCAGTACGTTTACCGTTGTACTCATATCCAATCCGCTAGGATTGCCCTTATAATCACTTTTGTCGTTTTGTGTGTGTGTCTGTGTGTGTACATTTCCAGTGTTTTCACGTATGATTTTTTCTGTGATTTTTTTGACTTGGCCGATTTCGTTCAAACTTGGCAGGTAGGTCACACCTTCACCCCAGTTATTAGGAAAAATCTGAAAAACATTTTTGCCCCACCGTTGCCATAGCAACAGCCAAAAAACTGATTTTTGGATAGCTTCGCGCCAAATGTATCTCCTCCTACAAATTTGGGATAAAACACTTCAGACAAATCTCATTCTACTCAGCTTGTCCAGTATGTTTACCGTTGTACTCGTATCCAGTACGTGCACAGTTGTACTCGTGTCCAGTACGTTTACCGTTGCAATCGTATCCAACGCATTTACTAATATACTCGTTTCCAATGTGCTCACTGTTGTACTCGTAACCAGTACGTTTACGTTGTATTCGTATCCAGTACATTTACCGTTGTACTCGTATCCAGTATTTTTACCGTTATACTAGTATCCAATACGTTTACCGTTGTACTCGTATCCAGTGTGTTTACCTTTGTACTCGTATCCAGAATGTTTACCGTTGTACTCGTATCCAGTACGTTTACCGTTGCACTCGTATCCAGTATGTTTACCGTTGTACTCGTATCTAGTATGTTTACCGTTGTACTCGTATTCAGTACGTTTACCGTTGAACTCGTATCCAGTATGTTTACCGTTGTACTCGTATCCTGTACGTTTACCGTTGAACTCGTATCCAGTACCTTTATCGTTGTACTCGTACCCAGTACGTTTACCAATGTACTCGAATCCAGTACGTTTACCGCTGTACTCGTATCCAGTGTGTTTACCTTTGTACTCGTATCCAGTATGTTTACCGTTGTACTCGTATCCAGTACGTTTACCGTTGAACTCGTATCCAGTACGTTTACATTGTACTCGTATCCAGTATGTTTACCGTTGTACTCGTATCCAGTTTGTTTACCGTTGTACTCGTATCCAGTATGTTTACCGTTGTACTCGTATCCAGTCCGTTTACCGTTGTACTCATATTGGCGATCCGCTCCGCTAGGATTGCCCTTATAATCACTTTTGTCGTTTTGTGTGTGTGTCTGTGTGTGTACATTTCCAGTGTTTTCACGTATGATTTCTTCTGTGATTTTTTTGGCTTGGCCGATTTCGTTCAAACTTGGCAGGTAGGTCACACCTTCACCCCAGTTATTAGGAAAAATCTGAAAAAAAATTTTGGCCCACCGTTGCCATAGCAACAGCCAAAAAACTGATTTTTGGATAGCTTTGCGCCAAATGTATCTCCTCCTACAAATTTAGGATAAAACACTTCAGACAAAGCTCATTCTACTCAGCTTGTCGAGTATGTTCACCGTTGTACTCATATCCAGTACGTGCACAGTTGTACTCGTGTCCAGTACGTTTACCGTTGCAATCGTATCCAACGTGTTTACTAATATACTCGTTTCCAATGCGCTCACTGTTGTACTCGTAACCAGTACGTTTACGTTGTATTCGTATCCAGTACATTTACCGTTGTACTTGTATCCAGTACGTTTACTGCACTCGTATCCAGTACGTTTACGTTGTACTCGTATCCAGTATTTTTACCGTTATACTAGTATCCAGTACGTTTACCGTTGTACTAGTATCCAGTATTTTTACCGTTATACTAGTATCCAGTACGTTTACCGTTGTACTAGTATCAAGTACGTTTACCGTTGTACTCGTATCCAGTACGTTTACCGTTGTACTCGTATCCAGTACGTTTACCGTAGTACTCGTATCCAGTACGTTTACCGTTGTACTCGTATCCAGTACGTTTACCGTTGTACTCGCATCCAGTACGTTTACCGTTGTCTCTCGTATCCAGTACGTTTACCGTTGTACTCATATCCAGTACGTTTACCGTTGTACTCTATCCAGTACGTTTACCGTTGTACTCATATCCAGTACGTTTACCGTTGCACTCGTATTTAGTACGTTTACCGTTGTACTCGTATCCAGTACATTTACCGTTGTACTCGTATCCAGTACATTTACCATTGTACTTGTATCCAGTACGTTTACGTTGAACTCGTATCCAGTACGTTTACGTTATACTCGTATCCAGTATTTTTACCGTTATACTAGTATCCAGTACGTTTACCGTTGTACTCTTATGCAGTACGTTTACCGTTGTACTCGTATCCGGAACGTTTACCGTTGTACTCGTATCCAGTACGTTTGCGTTGTACTCGTATCCAGTGTGTTTACCGTTGTACTCGTATCCAGTACGTTTACCGTTGTACTAGTTTCCAGTATGTTTACCGTTGTACTCGTATCAAGTATGTTTACCGTTGTACTCGTATCCAGTACGTTTACCGTTGTACTCGTATCCAGTACGTTTACGTTGTACCCGTATCCAGTACGTTTACGTTGTACTCGTATCCAGTATGTTTACCGTTGTATTCGCATCCAGTACGTTTACCGTTGTACTCGTATCCAGTGCGTTTACCATTGTACTCGTATCCAGTGCGTTTAACATTGTACTCGTATCCAGTATGTTTACCGTTGTACTCGTATCCAGTACGTTTACCTTTGTACTCGTATCCAGTACTTTGTACTCGTATCCAGTACGTTTACCGTTGTACTCGTATCCAGTACGTTGTACTCGTATCCAGTACCTTAACGTTGCACTCGTATCCAGTACGTGCACCGTTGTACTCGTAACCAGTACGTTTACCGGTGCAATCGTATCCAATGCGTTTACTATTATACTCGTATCCAGTGCGCGCACTGTTGTACTCGTAACCAGTACGTTTATGTTGTACTCGTATCCAGTACATTTACTGTTGTACTTGTATCCAGTACGTTTACGTTGTACTCGTATCCAGTACGTTTGCCGTTGTATTCGTATCCAGTACGTTTACGTTGCACTCGTATCCAGTACGTTCACGTTGTACTCGTAACCAGTATTTTTACCGTTGTACTCGTATCCAGTATGTTTACCATTGTACTCGTATCCAGTACTTTTACCATTGTAATCGTATCCAGCGCGTTTATCGTTGTACTTGTATCCAGTACGTTTACTGTTGTACTCGTATCGCAGTGCGTTTACCGTTGTTCTCGTATTCAGTACGTTTACCGTTGTACTCGTATTCAGTACGTTTACCGTTGTACTCATATCCAGTACGTTTATCGTTGTACTCATATCCAACACGTTTATCGTTGTACTAGCATCAAGTACGTTTACCGTAGTCCTCGTATCCAGTATGTTTACCATTGTACTCGTATCCAGTACGTTTATGCTGTACTCGTATCCAGTATGTTTACCGTTGTACTCGTATTCAGTACGTTTACCGTTGTACTCGTATCCAGTACGTTTACGTTGTACTCGTATCCAGTACGTTTACCATTTACTCGTATTCAGTACGTTTACGTTGTACTCGTATCCAGTACGTTTACCGTTGTTCTCGTATCCAGTACGTTTACGTTGCACTCGTATCCAGTCCGTGCACCATTGTACTCGTGTCCAGTACGTTTAGCGTTGCAATCGTATCCAATGCGTTTACTATTATACTCGTATCCAGTGCGCGCACTGTTGTACTCGTAACCAGTATGTTTACGTTGTACTCGTATCACGTACGTTTACCGTTGTACTTGTATCCAGTACAATTACGCTGTACTCGTATCCAGTACGTTTGCCGTTGTACTCGTATTCAGTACGTTTACCATGCACTCGTATCAAGACGTTTAGGTTGTACTAGTATCAAGTACGTTTACCGTAGTACTCGTATCCAGTATGTTTACCATTGTACTCGTATCAAGTATGTTTACCGTTGTTCTCGTATTCAGTACGTTTACGTTGTACTCGTATCCAGTACGTTTACCGTTGTACTCGTATCCACTACGTTTACCGTTGTACTCGTATCCACTACGTTTACCGTT